AAAGTATGACGGTTCTAGGCTAGGTCATCAAATCGGAGAAGAGTTTTGATGATAACATTAACCTTGATACTTTTCCATTCCTTATTTTTTTTTTACCAACAAACAATATTTTTTTTACATTATTTCTTTTTTCGATTGATTTTATTTTGGCCAGATGTGATCTTTTAATTTTGTTCTATTTTGTTATTCTCAAGGGACTGTGTCCCAGAATAAAATTATTTTTCTATCTATCAAACAAATTTTTTTTTGTATTTGCTTTTAATTTAACCTGTTTATTGAAAAATATTACTATCTGCCTCAAACGACAAAACTAAATGAAAAATTATTTAAGAATTACACAAAGCTATAGAAAATTATTTTTGTAGACTTGAAGTAACAATAGTATTTTACAGAGAGATTCGAACATACATAAGTCCAACTAATATTAAATAGCGAAGAACAAAAATATTCTCAAGTAAATAATCAATCCGAATATTTAAAAATCATTTCATCTATGTAATTAAAGCATTTTAATTAAATAACCTTAACACTGTTCCGCTGGCACGGGAAAAACTCTGTAGTCAAAAAAGAAGGAGGAAAAAAAAAATCGTAAACAGCTGGTAGCCATCCATGGATGGCGCCGCTGCTACGCTATGGACAGTACCTCGCGAAACTGTATCTTTAAAGGGTAAACTTTAACGTTCTCGAGGCTAGCGATGCTAGCGATGGTTTGAATCCGGCCTGGGTGGGTTGAAATTTGTTGCATTGTGCATCCACAGAATAATGGGGTATATAAAAAAAATGACCGTTTTTCTACCAAATATTTGCATTATTATTTCATTAATATAATATTCAAAGTATAGTCCATTGTTATCTACCGCCATTAGCCATCAGCTGGCCAATTGCTCCATCCCACGCTGATACTATTCTTTGGGATATCTGTCAAAGAACGCTTGGACAGCAATTTCAACTTTTGTAAAATTATTAAAAATTTTTCCCTTGAAGAAAATGAGCCATAGATCTAAAGAAGTAGTAATCCGATGGTGCGAGGTTTAGACTATATGGTGGATGAGGCATGTGTTTTCACAAATTTTTAACATCTTAGACAAAAGAGACCGTTTATCAAACTCCATATTTCAAAGGACTGTAAGTATTTTAATACTATTAAACACTTAGTCCTATTTAATCCTATATAATTCCCCTATCCTCTCCTCCCCTCCCCCTAATTGCTAGAAGCGCCTATGGACAGAAGTAACTGGAAGTCCTGAGAACTATGTTTCAACCTATCGATTGGTCAAAGCCTTTAGAAAACATCGATACAGCATTTACCTCCGCTTCCAACCCGAATCTAAATCATTTCAATTATATTACGGTTTGCAGTCTTCGAAGTTGTCAACCGGAACATCTGAATATCTAGTTGCAACGGATCAAAAAGGGTAGAAGGAGCTTAAAACAATATGTATAAATAGACATAAATAAATTTGTAGCGATAATAAATACAAGTGACATCTATAAGACTAATTTATAATTTGTCATTAGGATATAATTGGTAAATAACAAAAAGAAATCATTAATCTCTATAATATAGATAAACAATTTTCTTATCCAGTGGCATATGTAGACCATTTGGAGAGGTTTATTTAAGAGAGGTTTATTATGTATATGTTAAGATGTCTATACCAATGAGATATTAAACTAAAGTGATTTTCCCTATATTGTGGAACTGCTGAAAAAAAAAATATTTATTATGGATTTTAGATCTGTGATAAATGAAAAATAAGTAGTAAAATTATTCAAAGTGATTATTTTACTCGAATGTAACCCTGATGATAGAGATCTCCGAAACGTCGGTTTGAGAATGTTTTATTAATAAAAAGACATTATAATGCAAGTATTTTTTAAAATACACATATATATGTAGATATCTGAGCAAAAGAAATAAACTTCTCGTGTGATTAAACAAATATATACTTCAATAAAGGGATCATTCAATTAAAAAAATGCTTCGATTTCTACTGACTAAACAAATATTTTTCTTTTTAAAAAATAAAATTTGTATTTTTGCAGTTATAATAATTCCCTGGTCATGGAAAAAATAAATCTTTGCAATAATCTATTGAAGTCATTTTTGTACACACAAACAGGAAACGCAGTATAATACTCTAATAGTATAATAAAAGGTTATACATTGTTATTATAAGTTATATAAAAAAAACTACTTATTCGTAGTACTCGAAATATATCTTATTCAGAAGCATTATAAATTTGTTTTTCTTTTACACCTATGATACAGTAGAAATTGATTACTAAAAAATAATTATACATTATTTACGAATTCAAATTCTCAGTTCTATATTTATAGAGTGAACGCTAGTTATTTTTATTAATAAATATATTCAAAACATCTTCAGATTGTGTGAAAAAATAGACTTATTTAAAACAACATATTATTATAAATTATGACAAAAAACAAACAAATAATTAAAAAATACCTTAATTCAGCATTGTGAAATTAATTTCAAATTGCTGAATTAAGGTTCTGAGAAACGTCATAGACGATTGAAGAATGGATACAGTCACCAGATAGATTAAGAATAGTGCAGTTATTTGAGATTAACTTCTCATCGCTTAATTAAATGTAATTAATTTGTAAGTGGAAAAGCAGAGGAGAGAATGGGAAAATGGACAGACGAGCGAAAAAGAAAGATAAATGAGAAAATGTGGACTCTACCTTGTAGAGAATGTGAGCTAATAAGAAAGCCGAGAAATGATATACGAGCAGTCCTTATAAGACCATTATCGCGAAAGAAAAAAAATAGTTTACATTTGTAATTCGTAGAATATTTTTTTAATAAAATATTGAATCGAAATTATTAAAAGCTTATAATATATGATCATAACTAACCTTTAAGTGATAATATATTTTTTTTATTTGACATTTTTAGCAGAATTCATTATCACTCAATCTGAAATATTATGGATAAACAATAAAAAAAAAGCAATTTTGACAAAATGAAAAAAATAAATCAATTGTTCATAAAACTTCTCCCTCTCCTCTGCCATAAAAAAAAAAAAAAAATACATAGAATAGAATAGAAAATAGAACTTCATTCTGGGACTAAGTCCCCTTAGAATAACAAAGATGAATTAATACAAAATAAAATATAAATCTGGCCAAAATCTAACTTATAAAAATTCTAACATTAAATAAATTATTTAAAAAGTAGTACGTAACCACTAAGAAATAAATAAAAAAAAGATATATTATATATATATATATATATATATATATATAAATAATTTATATTTATATATTTATATATATTTATATATATATATATATATATAAATAAACATAAAATCTTCTCAAAATTACTTATTATTGAGACACAAAATGTAATAATATTTACAGTAATTCATATAATAATAAGAAAACACTAAGATAAAATAAAATCTCTGTATTAATTGTGGTATATAGGTAAAAAAAGGAACGTGTCAGTGTTCATATAACATATTCAAATACATACTTCATATTTTTATTCTTGTTTAATTTCATCACATTTAACTTTTTATTAATTTTTTTTGAGAAACCAGTATATATATACTGGTTTCTAATTATGACTTTTTTAATATTAGTTCCAACACAGAACAAGTATTCATTATAATGACTGTGCGAGGGCCAAAATAGGAATTCAATTATCTTTATCTGATGTAAAATGTATCTGGAAGAAGGCGACTGGAAAACTGGCGAATTTATGGGGAAAGGGAGGGGGCTTTCGAGCTGAAGCCTTAAAATTTGAAAAAAAAAAAAAATTGTATTGGTCTATATTTCTTGGACAATTGCAATATATTCTCTGTTTAAATAATTATGCATATACAGCTATTATATATGAGCACATAATTGTTGGTCAGTTCGATTAATTGTTTGTTTCTTTTTTGGTTTTATTGATGATGTAGATAGAAATTAATTGGAATGTAATGAAGTATTATTGTTTAGTTATTGTTTTATAATAAGTCAATGTACAGTTTAAAACAAGACTCATGTAGGTGAAATGAAGTTATTCATATATGTATCATTTGTACAAGATTGTAAAATAATCTTTAACAAATAAATTCAATTCTATTCTATATGAGCACATATCAAGAAAAAATTAATGATATTTATCTATTAATAAACAAGTAGCAATAAACTCTATCACTTCAATTAATAAATTATATTTATAGCATGTGTGTTTGTTTCTGCGTGTGTGTTTTGTGAGTGTATGTGTATAAATAATTTTCTTTTCTATATAAATTATATTTTATATTTCTTGAACTTTGATTGATTATAATCTAGTTTTTCATTTATATCTTATGTAGGTTTTTTCTACTGTAAAAATGGATTCCAATGTTCTTCATAGCATTCATAGCAAAAAAAATATTAATCTGTAAAAGTATTTTTTATTATTGTTATTTTTTGAGAATTTAATTTTAATACCATTTCTAATAGGTAGTTTTTTACCCTTTTCTTTCAAAGTAATTAATTGAAAAAAAAAGACTAAATTCTGTATCTACGGCTGGTATGGAGAAAAGTATAATTGGATTGCCTTTGATTTCATCCAAATAATTTATTTTTTTTTAGTAAAAAAAATTAATAATAGTGCATTTATTAAACCAATTTGAAATAATAACATTGTATATATATATATATATATATATATATATATATATATATATATATATATATATTTATTTATTTATTTTATTGTAAATATATAAGGGATGTTTTGTGGTAACAACGGCAATTTCTTTATATGATTTAAGAGATAATTTTTAAGAAATTTGATTAAAATAATAATAAAACAATTTTAATTGAATAATTTGAAGAGAACTACTTTTCATCAAATTATATTCGTAACAATAGTACCCTCGTGACGTCAGAAGTTCCACGTACCGCCTCAAAGAATCCATTAATTTAATTTTTATACACTTAATTATTATTTTTTATTTTTTAAACTAAAATAATGTGACGAATTACTTACATAAGAGAAGGAAGGGTAAGATAGCCGCCTTCATGTTGCCGGGTCAGTTAAAGCTGGGGAACTGGAATGAATGGTCAAATCTTAAATGACGAGGTGGGGGTGCTTCGACCTTAGGGCGAAATTTACCACTTTCAGCTCGATAACAATTTCGCCAAAAAAATTGTTTATGCAAGCTAAATTATCGATAAATTCTATTACATATTTATTTTTCTTCTGAAGGGCAAAAACTTAAAGAAATGATGATTTACAAAAAATAAAAGCAGTAAAAAAATACACAAATTTTTCAAATTCTCAATTACATGCATATAATAATATGACATAAGTTGTATTACAGAAATAATTCATTAAATTATCATGCTTTACAAAAAAAAAAAATATCTTCAAAAATGTTTAATATAGGTGAGGGATTTATAAAAATATTAGGTAGACAGAAATAGAAATAGAAATATAAAATAACTTTATTCTGGGACAAAGTCCCTTTAGAATAACAAAATAGAACATAATTAAAAGACTATATCTGGCGAAAATTAAACAATAATAACAAAAGAGAAAGCAAAGAAAATATTAGTTAAATAAGCTATATAAAAAAACAAAAAAAATCTATATACAAAACACTTAAAAATATGCACTGTAGGAAAAATTATAATTATACACTTTTTAAAAATAAAATAATAAAAAATAAATTGAGTTGTTCTTACAAAATGAGATGTGTTTCTGCTAACAAAGGAAAGACAAAGGTGACAATATAAAATGTCAAAGTATATAAATAATGAATAATATCTAAACAAATCATTGTCTAGTTCTAGCTAAAGGTACAGATTTAATTTTATATCAATAAAAAAACAAACAATAGATACATTCAGTGACATTATGAGCGGGAAGATATTGTAATATCCCTAGTGAAGTTTACAGTATAGAATAGTACTATCGTTTGATGATGTAAATATTTCTCATTTATTATGATATAATAGAAATGTATAATATCAAAAGTTTAGCAAGTATCTGACTGTTTTTGGGATAGGAATTGGAATAGGAGGGTTTTGAATGTGGATATGGAGGGAGAATGCCGAATTTTGATAGGTAGAGAATTCCAGAAATTTACAGCGCTAGCTATAAAGGAGTTTTGAAATGAGGCAGACTTGTGAGAAGGGATATAGAGGTCAGAAGGTCTAGATCTTGTTGAAAGAGAATGGACTGAGGACTTGAATTGGAGAAGGTTGTAGGCGTAAGAAGGACGATGGATGTTGATGATTTGATATATTGATAAGTCAAATAAGTCTTTTCGGTTTTTCTAGTTATTTTTATGTCCCTAAGATACACTTATTATCTGATGAATTAATCACTAAGGTGGATTGTTTATTCTGTCTATAATATGTCAACAGCTATATATGTTAACTCTTGTTGAAACTAGCTTAGTATTGTGTCTGCTATTGCACGGTGAATATGGAAGAAAATATCATTCATTATCGGCATATTTTGTTATATTATTTTAAGTAGAAATATTTGCAGTGTTTATGGGGGTGATGCCTTAACCGAACGCACCTGTCAAAATCGGTTTGCCGAATTTCATTAAGGAAATTTTGACACAAATGATGCTCAATTGTCTGGTCGTCCAAAGAAATTGAAACGAGCAATGTTAAGGCTATTGTTGATCAAAATCCCAACCAATCAGTGCGAGAGATTGCTATGGTCCTAAATGTGTCACACACAAGCGTAGAAAACCATTTGCACAAGATCGGCTATGTTTCCAGGTTTAATGTTTGGGTCCCTCACATGATTTTTTTTTTTTTTTAATTACAAAAAGTGTTTAGTAAAAAGTATCTTCAAGAAATTTAGCAGAAATTCATGGCCACATAAACTACACAAAATTAAATCAACATGACCTTCGTAAACAAACTACAAATGGAGATAAAAAATAAAAACCTATAAGGAGTTTTCGTCGACCTATAAAAGTCATATTAAACAATGGTCAATTTATTGTAGATTAAAATAAATTTTATGTCTATAGTACATTGAGTTTTATTTCATCCTGAAAAACCGAAAAGACTTATTTGCCAACCCAATAGTATATCTAACATCAGTGTTGGGGGGAGGGGAGGGGATAAAGGGAGCGTTAGGATCTCTTCGACTTCTGCCTTCCCTTCTACTTATGGCTGGCTAAGCTTGATTGAGAGTTTCTAAGGCGAATATGAATATTGTTTACATAGGTTTGAATGTGTTTAAGACGATTTGTACTATTGCTATTTATATAACTTTACTTCTGAAACCTCGTGTTTTATCTTATTATTATTTTTTTTTTATTCTTATTTATTACTATTTTTTCCTTTCTTTATTTTTTTTCAATTTGTAATTATTTCTATTTATTTATTTTTAGAACATATTGTATGACTGTGCACCTACAGCCTTAACACTTATTGCCCTTAAATGTGGCAGATTGTATTTTTTATTCAATAATACTTGTTTACTTTATGTTTAATATAATATAATAGTAATATAATAATATAAAATATTTAGGGTGAACTCACCAGTTATGGACGGGAGCCCAGCCAGTGTTGGACACGTTGGAAATGTGAATAAAAAGCTTCCTTGTGGATTTAAAGGTTCAACTTTTTTCTAGATTGAACAACAATGCCCTCTATTGACAAGTGTTTGGACTAAGCTACCAAAACAAAATTTTAAAATGTCTATCATTGTTGTTGCTATAGTGTGTTCAGATCAGTGTGTTTCATTCCTCCCTATTAACAGTTTTGCTAAGATTAAGTTGAATAATTATGTTATCTTATCTTTATCGTTATATTTATAGTTAAATGAAAATTTCATATTTTTTCTGAGGTATTTCCATTACTAGAACAATTGCATTTTGGGGTGTCTATCACTATTGCAAAAAAAGTGTTCTTTTTTAATGGATATTATACCTGCATAACTAAATATTTTTTCAATTTTAAAGTGTCAAATAGAAAAAAAGACCCTAGATATTCTAAATCTCCAAAGGACAAGTTTATAATTATAATAATTATAGTGGCATAGGCCAAAAAAGACAAAAAAAAATCCTTAGCTCTGTCCATTTACCCTACCTGTAATCTAGTATCAAGATCACTTCTGATATTCAGGTTCTGAAGATATGAAGGTCGCGCAAATCGGGGTAATATCTGTTCTCTTTATCAAAAGCTACTTCGCTAAGTGATAAGAAGATTGAATTTTATCAAAGGGTTTAAAGTACTTTATCCGTAGTATTTATCCAAGTTTTACTAAATTCAAAGCTTATATTAAACTAGTTACCCCTTGCAAATAATTCGCATAGAATATTGGCCAATGAAGAATTGACAATATATATATATATATATATATATATATATATATATATATATGTATATATCTAATATATAAATAAGTTTATTTAATGCATTATGAGATAGAAAAAATAATTTTATTGTTTTCTGTGTAATCACATTAGTTCATTGATGACAATAAACTAAAACACTTGTGCATTACAATAGGCTGTATATTTGCTAATAATTGACCGATTTCGACGATTTTTTTATATAATCTTTTTAAATAATCATGGGTGGAATCCAAAAGAAATTTATAAGTTTTAAGTTATTCGCAAATAAAGTTTCTTTCCCTTCATATTTTTTTTTCCAGATCGAAGGGATGGGATTTTGATTCGTCACTTTTCCATGATATTAACTTTCCTTTGATACCCCATTCGTCAAAATCCAATGCTTCTGAACTCCTCAAAAATTTCCTTTAAAAAACTCTAACTCCCGTCAGAATATACCCCCTTCAAAAATTTTGATGGCATAACTTCCGCCATGAAATCCCATTTTGGACACCCCTGGCAAATTGGAAGTATAATTTTAAATCTACTATAAATTTATTTTAATTTTATATTACTTATTTTTTTTTCTTAACTGCTGCTATAATCTTATATAATTTTATAGATAAATTCTTGTTATAAAATTATGAAAAAAATTTAATTTAAAAGCAAACTGAAATACAGAAATTCTATCTAAGCTAAGGGGAAAGTACTTGTACAACTATAAAGATATATTACTTATAGCTGTTTCTTACATATTGGTAGATTGTTAGCAAACTTAACATCTATGAATACTTATATTTATCAACACTCCGCAAATTTACATGTACAGGTACATGAAACATAATTGACTTCCTTTATGTCGTAATATATAATGGAAAGCACCTAACTGCTGTGCCAAGATTAAATATTTATTGAGGTAAATTTCACTTATAACTACCAACGTGCTTAAGTAGATATGTATGTACTCTCTCTATCTTCTTAGGTTGGTTATGTTTATTACCTTATTCGAGTTTTTTTTTTTTTTGTATTTTTTTTTGTTTTTTGTTTTAGAGTTTTTAGTTTTTCAAATTGTTGGTTGTACAACTCACATTCGTCATTATATGAAACTAACGAAAATTGAGTATATTTAGAATATAATAAATTTTAGATATTTTAGTTTGTTTAGCTCAAGATTATTCAAAACACGTGTGAGGTCACGTTGGACAGTGTGAATAATCTAACTTAAAAATATATAGGTGTGAATGAGTTTTAGAAGAATTTTATTTGTTTATCAGCATTTTTTTTTCTATTAATTTGTTTATTAACCTTTAACTTAGTTTTGTTGTCTACGGATTTTGTAACCATTATCTATTTATATGCATCCCTTAATTTGTGAAGTCATATAATTATATATATATATATATATATATATATATATATATATATATATATATATATAGTTTTTTTCAGTATACTTTCTTCACTACTACATTTTACTAATTTATGTTTTGTTTGTTCATTTTTATTTTCTTTGTTTTATTTATTAATTATTTTTAATTTTCTGTTAATTAATTTCATTTATTTCTCTTGTTTACATATTGAATGAGTGGGTACTTTTAGCTCTAATACTCATTGCCCTTGATTTTGGCAGATTGTGTTAATATTCAATAAATAAATAAAACAACTTAAAAATAGGTCGAGCCGTTCGCACAAAAATATCGTTGCTTATCTTTTAACCGACCATTTAAAATCTATCAT